TTTTTCTATGTCCTTCAGTGAATTGTTTTGTGAGACACGGAATGCAATTTTAATTAGAATGACTCCCTTTCTGACTGAATCTCTTTGAAAATATTAGACTTCCATCTATCAGATTGCCCCAAAGCTACAAATATCTGTAAAATAAATGGGGGAGATAATGTTTGGATAACACCATTACCAATTTTATCAGGTTTGGGGTTGAATCCTTTTATTTTTTTGTAGGCTTTGGTTGTTGAGAAATGGCCATAAGTTGAAAGTGCATCGTCTCTTTTCAATTCAAAATTAGCAATAACAACAATACTAAAAAGGAGATTTAACATGATTTCCCAATTCAAGGGAGACAGAAGTTGTTCATGCCTCTATATCAGTGGTTCTCAACCTTGGCTGCACATTAGAATCACCTGGGAATCTTTTTAAAATCCTGGTTTCTGGGCCCCATCCTCCGGAAATTCTGTTTCTTTGTTACTAATGTTGTGGCCCCACCCCATAACAAAGAAACAGAATTTCCAGAGGCTGAGGCCCAGAAATCAGGATTTTAAAAAGATTCCCAGGTGATTCTAATGTGCAGCCAAGGTTGAGAACCACTGCTCTATATCAAGTGGAGACTAGAGATAGAAGTCTGGGCACCTTTCAACATCATACAGGGATGGGCAAAAGTAGACTTACAATTGGGAGTATGCAAAACACAGAGTTTATTCCTGTATTATTATTTGCTCGTTATTGTATTATTTTTCTTATGAACAACTATAAACCTACTTTTGCTCCAGCCAAATGAATCACCCTTCACACACACACACACACACACACACACTGACTAAAATAATCAATCTATTCTAACATATTTCAGTTCTGAAGGATTCCTTAATGGCATATTAAAAATTTTAGGTCTTTTTAAAAATAAGTTAAAAAATGCCTGTAGTAATTTGAGGGACAAGTGATTAAAAGCAATTAGAAAAACCCAGTTAATTGGGTTCTTAGCTTTTCAGGACAAAATCATATCGTCCCTTCCTAAGGCACAACTTCTCTCAAACACATGAGAGATTTCTATCTGATTGGTGGTGTGTTAATTAAGTGATAACCTCCCTCAGCAGATTCCCCCCAACTTTCCAGAGGATTGCTTACTATCCATGGGGGAAATGGTCAAGTTAAAGGGACTCAGGACACCTTTATTCTTTCAGCAAACACATCTGTGGCTACAGTCATGAAAGAGGCAAAAGGAATACAAAGAAGAATAAGGCATGGTTCTAAATTTTCACAGTTCTCGCCTACTGTGGGAGACACTGTGCTAAACAAATGTTTTTAGGACAATGTGAAAACCTGCAACAGAAATTCACAATGTGCAAGAAATGCGTAAAGAGAAAATACCAGACTCTACCCCTGATCACCAGTAAAGGCATCATGAAAGATTGAGGGGGTGAGGAAGATTGTCAAAATCCTAGCCTGTTAGTTAGCATCCCCATGACTCAAACCCAGGTGAATGGCACAAGGGAATATAGCTTCGATTACATATTATGTGTAACTAAACATAGCATATAAGCTTTATTAGAAATTTAACAAATGCCCATATGTGTCTCTGTCTCTAGAATATTCTCCTTCCTTTAAGGAGATTCTTGCAGATGATAACTGAGGGAGAATATTTTGTAGTTGTGGTTGATGATTGCTTATCCCCAAATATATTAAACTGATGGGCAAAAACATTAGAAAGGATATTAAACAACCGAGTAAGGAAAATGACAGCGCAGATAACAGAAGAGAGATTGGGACCCAATTCTGGAAGCCGTGCTTGGCAAGGAGAGGCAAATGGTTGCTCAGTGGAGAAATAGACAACCAGAGTGTTGGTTGGCAGAGGGGGATAATGACTTAAACAAGCTACTTTGCACTGCGGGGAACCTTAGTGTCTGAGGTCTTGCAAGCTTTGAGGCTTGTGAAGACGGGGAAGATGGGATAAGGGTGAGAGCGGAAACCCTGGGATTAGCTGAAACTCTGATGAAAAGGTGGTGGGAAACTATCATTACTCTGGGTTCTCCAGAGAAACAAAACCAAAAGTGAAGACTCGGGAAAGCTTTGGACCAAGTTCAGGTCCAGAGGTTTTGAGGCTCGGAGACGCTGATGGTGGAAATCCTAGCCCAGGCCTGGGAGTGGAGAACTGATGTCTTAGCTCAGGGGGTTGAGCAGATGGAGGGAATTCTCCCTTCCTCCACCTTTTTGTTCTGTTCAGACCCTCCGCTGATTGAGTGATGCCCTGGACTTGAGGAGAGCTGCCTTCTTTAAGGAATACACCAATTCAAATGCTAATCTCGCCCGAAACAACCTGAAATACCCAGCAATGCGGTGTAGCCAAATAGCGTGGTACCTTGTGGCCCAGGCAAATTGATATATAAAATTAACCATCACAGAATTCAAGGTTTTGACCTCCATATTATGCACCCAGGTGTCGGTTTCTCTTCCTCCATGTGGCATAGTCCACCTCCCAAAGGTCAGAAGTGTATTCTCTAGAGAATAAAGAACAGTGGAAAGCTGGGAGGAGAGGCCAAGGGGGAAATCTTGATAAAGAGGAAGACTATGGCTGCCTTCCCCAGCTCTGTCCTTAAAAACAAGTATCTAGTCATAAATGCCCTGACAGGAAATTGGACATTCTTCTCTAGAAAAGTTTGCATGGCCCCAAATGAAATATTTCCAGAATTTTGCAGGTGGGATCCCCTAATGGAAGAGACATTCATAGGGAAGTATATCCGTCAGCAAACCCCACTCATACATAAAGCTTTGGGTCAGCTTTTTTGGAACATAGCTCTCAAAGATTAAAAGAACCAAAATAAAAGAAGAGAAATAATTCAATAGAGGCAGAGGTAATGCTAAGTAAGAAAAAATTATATTAGCCTCAAAGAGATTAAAAAAAAAGATTATCTATGGAACAAACAAAATTTACTTGGATAAAAAATGATAAAGAGAAAATTGGGGAGAGGACCTCATGAAAATTAAAAATGTAACAGCTAAATTAAATTTTTGGAAGAAACAGGAAAGTCTCTAAAAGTGCAATGAAAAGCAAAGATGTCAAAAAAAAAAGAAAGTAGTTATTGAGGAAATTAGGAAAAAAATCTCCAGAATATCTTCTAGTATGTGGATAATAAGAGTTCCAGAAGAGAGAGCAGGAAAGAGGGGGGAAAAGTAAATGATAAGAAAATATCCCAGAACTAAACACACCAGCGTGCAGGTGAGTCTGTAGATACCAGCATAACCGCTGAAAAAAGAACCACATGAAAAAGAGCCCCACCCGACCCGGTTTGGCTCAGGGGATAGAGCGTCGGCCTGCGGACTGAAGGGTCCCAGGTTCGATTCCGGTCAAGGGCATGTACCTTGGTTTCGGGCACATCCCCAGTAGGGGGTGTGCAGGAGGCAGTTGATGGATGTTTCTCTCTCATCAATATTTCTACCTCTTCCTTTCCCTTATTCTCTGTAAAAAAAAAAAAAATCAATAAAATATATATATTTTAAAAGAGCCCCATAAAGGGACATTGTCAGGAAATTTCCAGATCCCTGCAAGATAACACAGAGCATTGGAGTTTGAATAGCATTGTCCATCTTCTAAAGAGCAGCATTCCTGGCCAAAATGCAATGCCTCCAAATTCTGAACTAAAAAGAAACCGATATATTTCATCTTCGCATTCCATACTCAGTCAAATGTCACTTACATTTGGGCTTAGAATAAAAGCAGCTTGAGGCTTTATGAAGAGAAAATGTTACAAACTGACAAGGATGCGAGGAGAGCTCCCTAGTGTCAGCAGTGAATGCAGCATCTGGAAAGATCCCAGGTTTCCTTCATGTGCTTACTTATTTTTTATTATTCTCTTGCATCTTACAATCTATTTTTAATTTACACAGAGTAAGATGTACTCTTTTTTTTTGCTCCAACTTCTATGAGTTTTGACACATGGGTAGAGTTGTGTAAATACTACCACAGTCAAGAGATAACAGAGTTCATGTCGAAATATACCTTCACTCTACACTGTTGATAGGAAAACCACTCCGTGAAATTTGAATAGCACGTCAGCCTGTCAGATTGAATATCCGGGGCGCGTGATCTTTGCCTTTGGCCTTTCACACCTGGCTTTTGACAGCAGCTTCTTCACTTCAAGCCCTTACATGTGCTTTCCTCTCACATGTAAACCAAAGATGCCTTCGTACACACGTAAAGATCAGATGAACCCTACTCATTCTCCAGCCTCCTCCTCCAGAAACACAGTGTCTGCGTCACATGTTCCATACTTGTCATATTGTCATCAGCAGCTTCTGGATCCTCAAAGAATACTAACTACTGATCAATAGCCCAGACATGTCTGGCCATGGCCTACACGTGCCCTGGGTAGTTCATTTATTTGCCTTGGTGGGTTGTTTAGAGCGGAATTTAATCAATAGCTGATTCATTAATTCTGGTCCAAAGCGGTGAGGGTAGACAGCGCTTTGGATGAAGAGAGCTGACCAGCTCTGGCTTTGATTGAAATATGACAAGCGCTGTAGCGGACAGCTTCCCTGGGCACTGGGCTGCCTCTGATGTTTACTTATTTATGCTCCAGGAATGCATCCGATAAGGAAAAGCAGAAACAAGGAAGAGATTTTACTACATTACTGCTCGTGTTTCAAAATGCATGATTTCCAGGCACGAGGCTCAAGGGAGAGGAGAGAGAAGGCAGGTCGCGTCTCTGGCCGCCTCTAATTGGAACCGTGGCAGCGTCTCCCCCAGTTCCACATCAGTTTGGGGCTGTATTATTGATGAGAAGTCTGGGGTGTAATGTCTTTGTAGCATTCACAAATAATTGTTTAAAAATTTGCCTCGAGCTACTGAATGATATAAATGATAGTTTTACACACCAACTTTGCAGGAGTCTTTCTGGTAACAGCTCAGCCTGGGTGCCTCCAAATGAAGGTTGAACACCTGCCCTTATGTACAAATTCCCCCTGTATGTCCCAGGTACTTAGTGTGGGGTTGAAAAAGGCGCGAGAGTCATAGCTTGTGGAAGAAGATTCTTCCCCTTTTTGCCTCACCAAATTTGAGGTGAAACTTTGAAACCTCTATATTTTCATGACATTGGATAGCAAGGAATCTCCCGTATCCTTTATTTTCCTCCCTGATTCTTTTATGGACTGGCAACTTGAATGCTGAATTTAAAATTTTACAGTTAAAAAAATTAATCCACCTCTTCTTTTTTTTCTTTTCTTAATAAGCAGAATATTGGTCTGTTGGTGTAGAATGTCCAAACACTCCTCCTTTACCCATATTGTCAATATCCTTTCTCAGCAACGTGGACAATGGCAAATGGCTTTTAATTTGGACTGGAATTTTATGCTCAGTTCTTGAAAAGGTGTGGGAAGAACTCTTGAGATAGACAACATGGAGGGTATTTTGTATTATTGTACAGATGAAATCAGTAGTCATAATTGCTTTGAGGAAATTTTATTATTGTGATGGCCAGTGAGTTCTGATGGTCAAACTCATTGCTTGGTGAGGAGACGTAACAGAATATTGAGCTCATTCTTGGGTCTCTGGCACCACGAATTCCTTTTCTTCACCTGCCTCTCCCTCCATCCCAAGCTCCTTCTGATTTCCCTGATTTCTGTGGCTCCGATAGAAGAAACTCAATGACTGAGGTCGCCTTTGTGCAACTCTCGGCAAAATCCAGTTCTCCCTTCTAATTAACTTCAACCTCCGGCTCTCTGAACACGCATTGGTTCCTTCCATTGCTTCCTTTCATTGGTTCCATTCCAAATCCACTCTTTAATTGGGGGGGGGGGTTGTCCTCAACAGAATCTCAGAGATGTCCTTCCTCCATTTCAAATTGTCACAAAAAGAGATCTCTCAATATCGCTCTCATTACTTCTAATGAGAAACGTGGAGGGGTTGAACCCATGACTCCTCAATCATGTATCTTCCTGTGCCTCGCTCAGATTCTCAAAAGCAGAAACTGTTCATGGCACTGCTACAAATAGAGGTGGTCTCATTTCAGTTACGCCGTGCAAGGAAGGCAAGTACAATGGCATGGTGTTCTACACGTGTTTTCTAGACTTCACTGATTCACCGGCTTTTGTGGATAAGTCAGACCCTGGAATGTCACTTACACAAAGTCTTTTCTGTCGTTGATTATGCAGTGAATACAAAAGAGGTATCTTCAAAATGGGAAGTGAATTCTGGGAGTTGGACAAAGACCTCAGAATAAGAATGGTGGCTATCCAAGTCTCCTATGAAACTGTGCTCTTACACGTGACATTAGTGAATGTGTTATGTTTGTGCCCTCAGAAATGAAATAACAACTTTCTTTTCTTTAAAAGCAGTCTATTAAGATGTCAAGGTTTATCATGATTGCTGCTTTTTAATGTAAATGTTTGGGCTTAATTGAATTCCTGATAGGGTCCAGTAATTTGGTCTGTAATGATATATTTCTCCTTAAAATGAAAAATGACAAAAATATTTATTTTACACAATGACAGAAAAGTGGCTAACAGTTAATCATGAGATGTTTAGTGTAAGATCTTTAAAGATACGGACTAATAAACTCATATGCTCTTTTTAAAAAATATATTTTTTATTGATTTCAGAGAGGAACAGAGAGCTAGAAACATCAATGGAATTAGTAAATTGTTATGATTGGAAATTCTACAACTACACAAATAGGGTTAATTTTGAATGTCAGCATTCCACCCGTTAAGAAAACAATAAGAACAAAAAAATTTTTGTTACCAGGAGGTCACAGATTAGATTCCTGGTCAGGGTACATGCCCAGGTTGGGGGGCTTGATCCCCAGGTGGGGGCATACAGGAGGCAGCCAGTTAATGACTATCTCTCATCATTGATGTTTGTATCTCTCTCTCCCTTTCCCTTCCTCCCTGAAGTCAATGAAAATATATTAAAATAAAGTTTTCATTGATTCTCCAAAAATGTGATATGGCAGTAGCATATATGAGTATATATGTTAACATATACATACTCCCTTGCCGCAGCTTTTTGATTAGGAAGTTAACAGATGTAAACCTTTAGAACAACCTGGAAGATAAATTGAAAAGTACGTGAGGTTGACAGCAGCAATGGTAAATGTTGTCTTTGCGGAAATATTAATTATTCTCTCTGTTACAGATCCCTTCAAATTGATTGGACGTCCCCGGGGAAGCCAAATGGCATCATTCTGGGATATGATGTCTTACGTAAATCATGGACCCCGTGCCCTGAGACCCCGAGAGCTCACAGCAGTGAGCTCTGCAAGGCAGTGATGTGTCGAAAGCATGAAACTACCTGTGGACACAGGTGCTATGATCCTGAGGCTAAGGTAAACCTCCTCAAGCCCGTCCGTGTAACCTCATTTTCCCGCCGAACACTCCAGGTGAAATCACTTGCTTCTTAAGCCACGATTTGTCATGATCGGTATTTCCCCCAGTCAATCAGGAGACCCCACGGCAGAGGAAGGATGCTTATCAAAACCCTGCCGTCCTCACGAGCATCGTAGCCTTCTCATTTTTCATCGTCTCCGCAGCAAATATTAGTTTATTGAAATAATAAGGATCCTCCTGAATGTGTCTTTGATGGAGTGACTTGAATTTTTTTTGTACAACAAATCCATTCAGCGACAAGTGGGTGTTTGTTTACATGACACTGATGAGTCACTGTGAGCAGGGCCTTTCAAGGTTTGTCAGAAATATTTTAAAATTATGGCCATTTGCAGATTAATGTTCCTGTTAGTTGCAGTTTAGGAATCAGATCAATAGCACAGCCAGACGGAGGAGTTTGTAAATGGCCTTTATTGACAAACGATGCAGAAAATTCTCAGTTGGAAGGTAGAATGAAAGAGCGTTCCTATTTATCAGCAGCATCGCCCCTTTAATGATGGGAGCGACCACTACATCCGAAAGATTTACTGCAAAAGGGTGCAATAATTAAGAACGTGAGTTTTTGCAGCAGTATGGGTAAAACACTAATTACTAAGCTGACACTGGCTAAGTAGTAGTCATCATCTAAGAAAGGTTATAAAACTAGCTGTTACAAACTAACCTTTTTTATGCTCAGTCTCCAAAATTGTCACCATGACTAAGTTTTACATCATTTCAGGCTACTAGTTGTGCAGTTGGATTCTCAGAGCTACCTAAACCACCACAGGGATAGGCTGAATTTAAGACTTTAAATGTATTTGCTCTTTCGAAACTTTTCCAAAATGAATGAAGTACTAATCTAGCGGCCCTTTGGAAGACTGGGAGGTCCCACCTTCTTCTGCTCCTGTATTGAGCTTGATTCAAAGGTTGGTGCAAGCTTACAAGAAGCAGTGAGCAAAAGGGAAAGAAACACGTTGTAAATAGTGGTGGTTTTGGCTGTCACAGGAAGGCTCTGTCCAGTTCACATCACGTGCCAAGTATAGATTCTGAGGGACACTTCAGCAACAGCTCAGGGTTTCATCTGTTCTACATAGAGTATCCGTTTCTCAGACCTCCAGTGCATGCAGATAATTATTTGATTGTTCAGGCACATAATTTCTTCCACAGCTCCTGGAGAAAACACACATGGTTAAAGGGCTTGTCGAAATTAATTTCCATAGAAATGTTCTCTTTTTAATGTGACACATATATATACACACATATATACATATATGTGTGTGCATATACTATAAATGTAAATGTTGAACTCTTTTAAGATCCCCTTGTCTGAAAATTGGGTTAATAAACATGTGGTCATAAGCATTATAAGAAAAATGTCATTTATTTTTTAACAAAAAAAAAAGAAAGATCAATGAGAGTCAGGTTTCCATAGATGTGGAGTTAAAATAAACAACCACTAAAATAAAAACATATATGTGAAGGAAATTGTTCATTTATAATTCTAAATCATCTTTCCATTGGAAGCACTGACATTCAAAATGTCATTCATGTTTATGGAATATTCTAATAGAGCACAAAGCATGGTTGAAGGCTTAAAAGTTACATTATATCGCCGAAACCGGTTTGGCTCAGTGGATAGACCGTCGGCCTGCGGACTGAAAGGTCCCAGGTTCGATTCCGGTCAAGGGCATGTACCTGGGTTGCGGGCACATCCCCAGTAGGAGATGTACAGGAGGCAGCTGATCGATGTTTCTCTCTCATCGATGTTTCTAACTCTCTATCTCTCTCCCTTCCTCTCTGTAAGAACTCAATAAAATATGTATTTAAAAAAAGTTACATTATATCAACTAGCATTTAGGACCCGAATGATGCTGAGGAAATGTGTGTTTCAGTGTTTGAATTTTTATCAAACATGTGCTGTATTTGGTCTCCTAGCAGTGTCTGTTAGAAAATGATTATGTCGCAGGAGATGTGGTGGTATAATAGTCTTAATTAACTGATACTCCTTTAAACCTGGCTCCCAACCTTCAGGTTTGCTGTGCCGGCGTGCTCCATGAGGCCCAGCCCGGACACCACTGCTGTGATGAGAAGTATATCCCTTTGGTTCTGAATTCAACGGGAGTGTGTTGTGGCCGCCGCATCCAACAGGCACAGCCAGACCACCGCTGCTGCGCGGGGTATTACGTTAGAGTTCTGCCAGGTGAGGGCTGTCTCAGGAATACCTGGTCATCCTGGGAACCAGAAGAAGCAAACACCTCCCCCCAGAAAATGCAGTCACTCACACATAGCCAATGGCCGGCTTGAAACATCTTTTCTTTTTTTAAATATATTTTTGTTGATTTCAGAAAGGAAGAGAGAGAGAGAGAAAAAATCAATGATTGAGAGGGAATCATTGTCCAACTGCCTCCTGCATAACCCCTTCTGGGGATGGAGCCCGCAAGCTGGGCATGGGCCCTGACCTGGAGTCAAACCATGACCTCCTGGTTCATAGGTCGATGCTCAACCTGGTTCACACTGAGCTATGCAGGCAACATAGCTTTTTAAGTGACTGTTCCAGTCTATCTGAAAATCTTATTACTGCTATTGTCGGTTCCTTTTTTTATCCTGGAAAAGCCATTGAGAACAACTTTTTGTTTCCCTACCACCTAACTTTAATGCTTGTGTCTTCTTTAAAAGCCCAGAAATAGATATGGGAGAAAGAAAAGAAAGGTACGTGTTTGGATGCCCAATTAATGCTGAGTGCCCTGAGACATTTAGTTTAACATAAAATGTATGCCAGTTATCTAGTTCATTAGATGTTGTTCGGGGTCCCTTGTGTTTGGTGCACATATATCCAGCCAAGGTGTGTAAAATGAAACATTATCTCACCTAGTATCTCTTTGTGAAACACTGGAGCAAAAAGGGAAGGTGAAATGATCAAATACGATGCAGGTTTATTTAAGGCTGAGTTCCTCTGTTCTTCATAACTGTCCCTTAAAGTTTATCAAAATAATCTGTCTTTGAAGCAGGACTGTTATTCTGATTCTCACCAAAAAAAAGTACGTCCATAATGAAATAACTTAACTAGATTTTCCAAGTAAGAAAACAGGATGTGATGGGAATAGAATTTTGTAGATTTCAGTGTCAGCTTCCGTATACTGCAAACCACAGTATGAGCATCTAGTCCAACACTGCCAAAGGCTTTGGGGTACATTACACTGAAGGAGTTTTCAACTGTAGTTCCTATCTCCCCTCCCCTGAAAAAAATATGTCCTTAAAATTGTAATTACATAGTTGAGAGAGAAATTTTCTGTTGTCCCAGTGTTTAAACTAAAAGACCATAGTAGGCTTTGGTCTAAGTGTAGCATAAAACTACATGGTGGTGTTTTCATTTCTAAGTTGAATTTAAATGTTTGTTGTTACTTGCTATTAACTGTTCAGACTCTGAAAAATATCCTCCATCCCTTAAAATTGATGAAAAAATGCCTGGTTGCATCTACCTATGCACACGGAGGAGACTCCTCGTTTCTAACACAAAGAGGCAGATTTCGAGCTAAGACAACAGTCTAGGTTTGTTCTGTTTCCAAATAAAATTTGACATATTTTTCCTAAGAATGGAATACATCCTGGAAGCCCAAAGATTATTTATTAATACTATGCAAAACTTCTTAATTTCTAAAACAAGATCTTTTAAAACCTCCATGATCTAGATATTGACACAGGCTCACTCAGACCTCAAGCATCTGGGCATCTACCAGATGTTGAACAAGGCCAACATCCTTTTAAATTGTCCCTTTTTCATGGTATTAGAATGTCTATACCATGATGTCAAGAGAAAAAATACATACAGTCCTATGGGAACATTAGCGTGTTTTGGTCCAGTCATGAATCTCAGTGTAACTGAGTGAAGAGATTATATTGCGACCTCTATGCTCAGCCACTGGTCTTTGTTATCTAATTTAACACTGTTTACATCAAGAAAGAAAGAACACTAACCCCCTAACTATCTGGGATGGAAATGCAATTAAAACTTAATCCGTTGTCTGCCTGTTCAAGGCTGAGATGGGTATATGCATTCCGATACGTATAGATGAGTTTGATATTTATAGAGGAGTCTGAAGTATTGGATAATACTACTTAGCTTATTTTTTCTCACAACTTTTCTTCATAGCACCCACAACAAAGAGCAACAGAGAAAAGAATGCTCAGGACTCCCCCCTCTTTTTTATAAATATGCTAATGACCTCAAGCTAAATGTTAATGCGGGTCATTCTTTGATAAGACTAACAATTAACAGTTGAGACCACGGGGTAGCTTTTAGAGAGAAAGCATTTTTAAGCCAGTGGTAGAATAGATTCGTTTTTTGAGAGGTTAATGAGAAGGTGACTGATCTTTGAATCTTAGGTCTAATAGGCCTTTTCTGAGAGGAAAAAATCAGTTTTACTTCTCATTGATGTAATCGACATCTTTTATTCTTCTGTCAGTAGCGCAGTGAGATTCTGAGGGATTCGGGGAAATATGGCTAAACTATCCAAACCAATTATTTGTTCTACTCAAAAGTGTTTTTTTTAAAAAAAATTGTTGGTTTTCCCCAATATAGATACGTCTGCTGTGTTTCCTCCGAGCCCACCCTTCTCCTAAGTGCTGTTTAATTAAGTGGTGCTGCCCCTGCACCACGTGACACATTGTGTTAAAGGAAGTCCGCCAACAAGGGGCCCTCTCTTCCTGAGCTGCAGGATCTAAGAAATACAGCAACTATATTTCAGACCAAAGTGAAGAATCCTTTTATGCAGAGGAATATGAGATACAGTGACCGTACTCTCCATTTCTTCCTCACTGGCCTCTAGTGTTATCGGAGAAATGCGTGGGTTTCCATTGCGAGTGCGAGTGGGGTTCTTGGGGTACCCCTTGAATAAGCATTTCCAGAGAACCCCAGGGGAGGATGGGATAGGGTAGAGTC